CTCAGGCAGGAAACCCTATACCATTTCAGACAAATGGCTGTCCAGTCTCTTCTTAAAAACTTCCAGTGTTGGAGCATCCACAGCTTCTGGAGGCAAGGAGTTCCACTGGTTAATTGTTCTGTCAGGAAGTTTCTCCTTAGTTCTAGATTGCTTCTCTCCTTGATTAGTTTCATACAGGCAAACTACCTGTTGCAGGTCCACTGATTAGGGAGCTACATCTAGTGCAGCAGCTCCCAATCTTTTCTATATCCCACACCTCTAGAACAGTTATGATATATTCTCGCACCCCTTACAAAAGTTCAAAATAACGGCAACGAATTATGCATAGACACTATAATTTTTAAAACCCAAGTTTTCGCAGCCCCTGGAATATCATCTCACACCCCCAGGGTTGGGAACCCCTGATCTAGTAGGGCCAAGGAACAGGGCCTTCTCTGTGGTGGCTCCTCCCCCCACTTTGAAATGCCAGATAAGATTGGCCCCCACTTTGAGCAGGGGTTTGGGCTAGATGACCTCCAAGGTCCCTTCCAACTTTATTATTATTATTATTATTATTATTATTATTATTATTATTATTATTATCATCATCATCATCATCATCACCACCACCACCACCACCACCACCACCACCACCACCACCACCATTATTATTATTATTATTATTATTATTATTATTATTATTATTATTATTATTATTATTATTATTATTAATCTTTTCAAAACACCCTGAAGATGTGGTTCTATGAGAAGGCTAGGGAGTCCAGGGAGATATGGAGTTGATCAAGTGTCTGCTGTGATTGTGTAGTTGCCACCACTGCCATGTTTCTGTGTGCGTTATGGATTCTTACACGGTGAAACATGAATGTTGTAAGTCGCCCAGAGTCACTGTATGTGAGTTGGGCAGCCATATAAAGTTGCTTAATAGATAAGGTAAGGTAAGGTAAGGTAAGATAAGATAAGATAAGATAAGATAAGATAAGATAAGATAAGATAAGATAAGATGATAACCTTTATTGTCATTTTTTTTTTACTGTGGGCCCAACGGCGCACATCAAAAAATGAAACGTAGTTGCCCGCTCTCAAAGTGAAACACATACCTGACACACACCTAAAACGTGCTATGTACAACATATGTATAGACCCCACACCCCTACAGATACGTAGCAAATAAATATTAAATACTCTCCCTCTTGAATACATAACGGAAGGAGGAAGCTTGAGAGTTCACAAGGTTAATGCTGTACGGAATGAAATAATAACTGGCTGGAATAATAACCAAAATACATGAAACAATGCTTCACTTCGCCCGTTGTCTCTCTCCCTGCTTTAGAATCGGCAAAGGAAAATGTGACGAAGGGGACGGAATCAACTTAAACGACATTGGAAAAGTTCTCCCAGCCTGGCAGGTAAGTTTCCATCCATCCCCGAGGATCCGTACTCTTCTTCGCTGGACCAAATATTTGGGTCCTAATTCACAGCAAAGTGCGCGATAAACTAATACAGGTAATTCTCGACTTAAAACCACTCGTTTAATGAGCGTTTGAAGCCACAACAGCACCGAAAAAGGGACTTAGGACGTTTTTCACACTTAACCACTGTTGTAGCATCCCCATGTTCACATGTGCAAAAGTCGGACGCCTGCCAATCGGCATGTATTTATGACGGTCGCCGTGCCCCGGGGTCACGTGATCCCTTTTTATTGCCACCTTCTGACAAGCAAAGTCAATGGGGAATCCAGATTCATCTAACAACCAGGTTACTAACAGGTTACTTAACAGCTGCAGTGATTTACTTAACAACGGTGGCAAGAGAGGTAAAATGAGGCAAAACTCATTTAACAACTGTTGGAAATTTTGGGCTCAATTGCGTTCGTAAGTCAAGGACTACCCAAATAATTTAGTTATTTGTGTCCTGCCTTTATTATTTTCATAAATAACTCAAGGTGGCGAATTTATCCAACACACCGTATTTTTCCTCCTATTTTCCCCATAACAACAACCCTGCGAGGTGAATTGGACTGAATGACTGAGCCAAAGTCACCCAGTCGGCTTTCATGCCTAAGGCGGGACTAGAACTCACCGTCTCCTGGTGATTGGCCCAAAGTCACCCAGCCGGCTTTCATGCCTA